CTCGGGCAGGGTCGCCTAGGAAACGGGCCAGGGGCGCGCCGACCGAGCCTCCCTATGGCCGCGGTTGTGAGCCAGGCAGGGGCAGAGAGCTGCGAGTGCGAGCGCGCCCCCCCAGATGTTGCGCCCGGTGCGGCCGGCCCGGAAAAAGGTGCCGGAACGCGGTTCCGCCGCGTTCCGGCTGAAAAAAAGCCCTGCTTATGACCATTTTTCACACTTATAACCATTGTGGCATCCTCATGGTCATGTGATCAAAATTCAGACATTTGGCAACTCGCTCATATTTATGATGGTTGCAGTGTCCTGGAGTCTTGTGATCCCCTTTTGCAGGCTTCTGATGAACAAAGTCAATGGAGAAGCCAGATTCACTTAACAACTGTGTCACTAACTTAACAACTGCCGTGATTCATTTAACAACCATGGCAAGAAAAGTCATAAAATGGGGCAACACTAAATGTCTCACTTAGCAACAGAAATGTTGGGCTCAATTGTGGTCATAAGTCAACGACTACCTATACCATTAGCTTTCTCAATCACTATGGAATGAGATTTCACTATATCATACAGTATATGATAGTTTATTATCTATGTGGTGGTCCAGTGGTTAGAATGCAGTACTGCAGGCTAAGTCACTGCTTGCTCCAGGAGTTCGATCCTGATGGAGCTCAAGGTTGACTTAGCTTTCCATCCTTCCGAGGTCGGTAAAATGAGGACCCAGATTGTTGGGGGCAATATGCTGACTCTGTAAACTGCTTAGAGAGGGCTGTAAAGCACTGTGAAGCAGTATATAAGTCTAAGTGCTATTGCTATTGTTATTTCCTGATCATAAAAGAACAGAGCTTACATAATTGTATATATTTCAAATACTTAGACCTATATCAAACCTGAGCATTTTACAGCCTCAGGCCACATCCAGCCCTTTGGCTGTCCCTGTATAGCCCGCATGAGGCCAATCAGAAATTAGAAATTGAATGTAAATAAGCACACCACAGGTTGCAGGAGAAGAAGCCAAGTTGCTTCTGCGTAGTTAACATGCGCTGTTTCAGTTGGTTGGCGGCCATGGAAGGGTGAGAAGAGAAAGCACTTTTCTGCCCCTGCACAACACTCGCCCCTCACCTGAAGCAGCTGAGGAGATGAGTTGATGGAATTTGAGGGCATCAAATCAGGATACGTTGATTCAGTCCTCCACAATAGTCCCAGTTTCTCATGTGGCCCCTTGGGAAAATTAATAGCCCACCCCTGACCTACATACTCCAACTATTTCCAAGCATATTTTTAATGGCAGATATTATTAGCTATTTTGGTAGCTAACTGATATGCTTGAGCTGATTTGATGGGGCATTCTCTCTGTTTCCCTCAAATTGGAACAATAAAAAATCAATGTACAGAGAAAAGGTCAAAATCGCAAATAGAATCAATTGTTGCCCAGAAATTTCATAGAACAAGAAACACTTAAGTTATCAATCAGTATAAATTTATAACCACGCTACTATATCTAGCCTTTCCTTTTGTTTTTTTTTAGCTGCCAGTGCAAACAATGCCATATCAACATCATTCACATGAAAACAATGTCATTAGAATTTTCTAGGCTTCCTGATAACAAAAGAATCACCATCTTTTTCTGTGATTTTTATACAGTGGTCAGATCAATATATAATAAATGAGATCTTCTACTTAATAATAATAATAATAATGATAAAGTTGGAAGGGACCTTGGAGGTCATCTAGTCCAACCCCCTGCTCAGGCAGGAAACCCTATACCATTTCGGACAAATGGCTGTCCAGTTTCTTCTTAAAAACTTCCAGTGTTGGTGCATTCACCGCTTCTGGAGGCAGGTTGTTCCACTGGTTAATTGTTCTAACTGATGAAACGCTGTTGTTTTGGTCAGCATTATCATATCTCCTGCTTGAGCAGAAGACCTCCAAGATCCCTTCCAACTCTTCTTAACCTATTACTGTATACAGCATCCTGCCAGGACAGTTTCTCTAAACACTCGCAGAGGTTCTGATGCATATGACTTTCTTCAACAAGCAAAGCCAGAACAAAATCTTTTTTTCCCAGTTGAAGTTCCTAAAATATGTTCAGTATATCTATTCCCTTAGTTGATGTTTAATCCCACACTGCATTAATATATTGGAAAAAGAATACTTCTTCGCCATAATTTGCAATTTGCTCTCCAGTGTTCCTTCACTCAGGTCTCCAAAACCACATTTTTTCAAACACTCTTCTACTAAAGTACTACTTTTGTTTTTAAATACTTCAGTATTGTGGTAGCAATGGTTGCTTCAGTTTTCATTTGCTTGTTATTAGGTTCAGTACAGAATGATAAAATACAATATTAATAAATTTGTACATTCCAATTTGACCTAATGGTTTAAAGTGTACAGCTTCAGTAAAACCATCATTGGCTATAAGAATTAATGAGGAGTTGATAATTAAACCAGCTTTAAATCCCCATAAAGATAAGTAGCTTTTGCATTTTTAATAAATTATAATCTAAGCATAATATCGGTGGAGCGTGGTTCCAAAGAATACTAGATGAAAAAGCTGTCAGCCACACTGTAACTAATTAGGTACAGAGAAGTAATTGTCAACTCTCAACACAGACATGAGATACAAGCTTATTTTCAAAATAAGCTTCTTTTTTTGTTCCTTTGTGTAAGGGCTGGGGTGAGTTAAAATTAACAAGTTAAACTGTTATTTTTCACAAGCATGTAGGGATGGGAACAAAGGAGAAGTAAAGATAGTCTGGCAGACATCTGGAAGAACTGAAACAGCAACATAGAGAACAAACTAGATAAGAAGGCAGAGAGTGGAATTGAGTAATCCAGCCAGCAGACTGCTGCATTATTCCAGATGGGAGCTGATCAGTGAACAAATCAGCTGCTTTGCCATCTCAGCTGTGAACCAGCAGGTTCTATTAAGTGCTCATTAAATGAAAGTTACAAATTTAAAGTGGCTATATTGATAAAGAGCTGGAATAAAAGTCCCTCAGATTTAGGTTCCTTCCTAGGTTCCAAGATGTCCATAACTGGCAATTCTGAAAATAGAAGAGGGGATGGAAAGTTAGCAGAGTTATTCATGTTCAGTTTTTGATGGTGGAAATCCTTCCAGTCTGTGATGCTACCAAGGTACTTGGAATGAGATGCCCAGAATGGAAAGATTGGAAGCAGTGAAAAAGTCATCAAACTGAGCCAGATCTAGTGATCACATCTTAAAGAACCGTAGATCAGGGGTCCTCAACCGTGGCAACTTTAAGACTTGGGGACTTCAACTCCCAGAATTCCTCAGCCAGCAAAGCTGCTTGAGGAATTCTGAGAGTTGAAGTCCACAAGTCTTAAAGTTGCCAAGGTTGAGGACCCCTGCTGTAGATCATTGCTCCTTTCAAAGCTGGCAGCATTAATCCCCACAAAAAATGTTAGTACCTCATGGATCCAGCTGTTCACACCCCATCTATGTGACCGAAGGGACAGGGAAGGCATGGATAAAACCTGCAGGTAGCAGAGTTCAAGTATCCATTTCCTAGGATACTTCTAAATGTTCAAAAGTATCCAAAGTTATGCCACAAAATGGTGCCTGATGCTATGATCAATTGGTACCCAATTTAGGGCAGATATGATTTAGTTCATCTGACAGGAAACCCTCAAATTCATTTTTTGTGCTTGCAGGACTTTGATCTGCTATCCCTACCTGAAAGGCTGTGGATAAATGTGAAGAGGGACACCATATAGGAATTAAAGATGCAATAAATGTAGAGCGTAATTGCTGATTTGCTGTGCTTATTGGTACTATTTAAACTCTTACAATTGTTCAGCTGTGTCCTCTTTTTGCCACTATTGCTTTAGACATCTTTTCAGTCACTTTGTTTTTCACAGTTTCTTGACAAACAAGGAGCCATGAGTCCAGAAGCACCCTGAAATTATGAAACGTATAACCTATAAATAGAGATTATATTTCTTGAGGAATCTGATTCCTGGCCCTGAAAGCACGAAATCAGTCTTGAAAATTTGATAACTAGCCATGCATGAATTTCCTTGGCATGGTTTTACTCATTTTATGATTTATTTCACTTTCATTGTTCATAGCGTATTTTCCACAGAATTATATACTATGTACCTGATATAATTATCTTTTCTAGCATAATATGTACAGCTATATAGTGATTCATAATCACAATCAAAATCTCTTAAAAATTTCAACAAAAATAATTAGAAATAGCACCAGTTTCCTCACATGGTGAATAGCACTTCTTCCTCTTTAAAATGTACACGTTAAACTTCTTCCCTTAGGGTTCAGTGCTTTCTCATTCATGAAAGGATCAGTTTGATGAACTAAATGGTCTTTGTAAACAAATCTGTTGATTATCTGTCCATCCTTTCTAAACAATTTATAAAGTGGTAAACTATTATGTGAAGTTTCATTTATTAGTGTGTCTGTTTCAGGTGACCAAACTCTAAGAATTTGGGATGCGAAATCACCAGGATTCCCAGTGATAATTCCTGCTCACCAAGCTGAGATTTTAAGTTGTGATTGGTGCAAATATGATCAGGTACAGTAAGTGGAAATAGTGTATTTTTAAACAGTGGAGAAGCTGCTTTTATTATTTTAGGATTTAGGATTGTTTTAGTGTGCTTATAGATAATTCAGGTTATGATTATTCTCCGTTTACTATTGGTTTTAATAATATCAACAGCTTTATAGCTACCTTTATATTGTTGGGATCTTCCTTCAATTTATCCTCAGTGTAGTAACTTTGAAATAAGCTGAGCTATCAGATAGTAGCTGATCCAAAGTCACTCTGAAATTCCTGTTTTTAATGGAATGAACTGAAATAGGCTTGTTAATTTAGTTTTGTATCTCTGGCATTCAAAAGTTTTTCCTCATATTGAAATTTCTGTTAGCCATTGTTGTTTAGGTTTACAACTTGAGAGCTGTTGGTATTCTTAGAATAAAACTCTTTTTGTGCATTTTTTTTATCAGAACTTGCTTGTAACAGGTGCTGTTGACTGCAGTTTGAAAGGCTGGGATCTGAGAAATATCCGGCAACCCATATTCAGTCTGCTTGGGCATACATATGCAATAAGAAGAGTGAAAGTAAGTTTTAGTATTTTTTCTCATTATTACATTTCTAAATGGCTAGGAAAACAGACAGTTCACAAAACCCAGCAGAGCATTTGATGAGCTCCATATTTGTGTTCCTCATTCAGCAGGCCTTGTCTCCTCCATCTGTTGTCTGGCAGATCTCTCTTTGGCACTGAGTTACATTCCACAAGGGACTTGTGATGGCATGGAGACACAATATTTAAATAGCTCATTTGATTTTTTTACATTATAAAGTATTTATAGACCCATCCTTCACCAGAATGGATTCTAAGGAAGCATACAAAATGATAATGTCAATAAAGAATGAGATAAATACAAAATAATAATAATAATAATAATAATAATAATAATAATAATAATAATAATAATAATAGTAGTAGTAGTAGTAGTAGTAGTAGTAGTAGTAGTAGTAGTAGTAGTAGTAGTAGTAGTAGTAGTGGACGTGGCAGTGCCTGGAGACAGCAGAATAGACGAGAAAGAACTGGAGAAGATAACAAAATACAGAGACCTACAAATAGAAATAGAAAGACTGTGGCAAAAGCAAGCAAAGGTAGTACCAATAGTAATAGGCGCCTTGTGTGCAATCCCAAAACAACTGGAGCACCACTTGAACACCATTGGCATTGACAAATTCGCTATTAGTCAATTGCAAAAGGCGGCCTTACTAGGAACTGCTTCCATCCTGCGACGATATCTGTAATACCATCGAACATCCACATCTGCCTATCCCAGGTCCTGGGTATTATTATTATTATTATTATTATTATTATTATTATTATTATTATTATTAATTGAATTTTTACCCCGCCCTTCTCCTTGCGGACTCAGGGCGGCTGACAGCCTGATAAAAACAACTACAGAAATACCCCAAAAACTATCATTAAAACAAAGTTAAAATAAAATATTAAATATTTGGCCTTATTAATTATTAAAATTGCTTTTAAAACCCCTCTAAAAATTTCCCCTTAGGCCAGTCCTGCTTGTTGGAAGAGCCNAATAATATTGTACAAGTGGTATAAAATCCAATTCCATTTCTAATCTGGAGATTTCCGTTTCATACAGCTCCAATCAGCATGGCTACGAAGTTATAATTTATTCATTGATTTAAAAGATTTATATTGCCACCCACCTCAGGCACCATAACTCTGGGTGGCTTTCAGTAACATTCAAAAATATCAAAACACAAAATAAAGCCATATCGCACAACCAAGTCACCATAACATGCTGATCCCAAATATACGGTACATGTGCTGGGCTCAGTCCCCATCTTTGTCCAATACCTGGTCTAAATCCATGTCTTGAGAGCATTGTAACATTTGGCTTTGTAATCAAGAGTTGAAACCACATCGTTGAAAAACGATGCTACCTTTGTGCTAAACCAAACTTTAACACTATCTACATCAGGAAAAGAAGCTTTTGCAAAACAACACACTCCCACTTTTTCTCACTATTTTACTACAGACAAGAGAAAGAATAAACCAGGACTTGGTTTCACTCTTTGGATTGTTATGTGCAAACCTGATATGTAATTTAAAAGGAAGTGTCTTGTTCAGATGACCCTTATTTAATAATCAAACGGGCTGTAGTCCACATAACCATAAATGTCTGCTGACATAAAATTGCTGCAGGGAAAGGAAAGAAGAGAGGGGCTATATAACTCCAGGGTTTCTCATAAACTTCTTTCTATTTATGCCTGAATTCTAAATCAGCATATAGCATTATATGCATAGTTTTTGACTGGCTGAGTTCATACAACAGGCTAAATCCTAATGTGGTTTATTTGGTTCTGGTTTATTGTGATGAATTCGATGGCTATGACATGTTCAAACCATGGTTAAAAATACATTTTGTATGATGGGACCCAAATTGTGTTCTTTTTGTTCCTGCAGTTACTGTGCTACCAGCATTGTTTCAAATATGTTCTGTTAATATAGTTCTATGGGTATACTGTCTTTAACTTTGTAAGCTGTCTTGAGTGCTATTCTAAGGAAAACACATACCGTAGTTTACATGCTTCTGAATGTACATTTGTACATCACCTACTTAATAGCAGCTATGCAATGAGACAAATGTTGAGGTATAGCTAGGGGTACTTATGAACTCCTTCCTTACCTTTTTGGAGCCCAGTAATTTACTAATTAACATTTTATTTATTTTATTTATTTGTTTAGATTTTTATCCCTCCCTTCTCCTTACGGACTCAGGGCGGCTGACAGCCTGGTAAAACAAATACAAAGATAAAAATACCCACTTTAAAACCTAATTAAAATGAAATATTTGATGAGGCCTATATCAATTTAAAATTATTCATTAAAACCCCACTAAAAATTCCCCCTAGGCCAGTCCCGCTTGTTGGAAAAGCCATGTCTTAAGGGCGCGGCGGAAGGAAGGGAGATCCGGAATCACCCAGATCTCTGGGGGTAGTTCGTTCCAGAGGGTGGGAGCTCCCACCGAGAAGGCCCTCCCCCTGGGGGTCGCCAGCCGGCACTGTCTGGCTGACGGCACCCTGAGGAGACCCACTCTGTGGGAGCGTACCGGCCGATGGGAGGTAGTCTGCGGCAGAAGGCGGTCTCGGAGATATCCAGGTCCGATGCCATGGAGCGCTTTGAAGATGATGACCAACACCTTGAAGCGCACCCGGAAGGCCACCGGCAACCAGTGCAGCTCGCGCAGCAACGGTGTTACATGGGAGCGACGAGTCCCTCCCAACACCTCCCGCGCGGCCGCATTCTGGACCAGTTGGAGCCTCCGGGTGCTCCTCAAGGGAAGCCCCATGTAGAGAGCGTTACAGTAGTCCAGGCGGGAGGTGACGAGGGCATGGGTGACTGTGCGCAAGGCGTCCCGGTCCAGAAAAGGCCGCAACTGGTGAATCAGGCGTACCTGATAGAACGCCCCCCTGGTCACGGCCGACAANGGGTGCTCCTCAAGGGAAGCCCCATGTAGAGAGCGTTACAGTAGTCCAGGCGGGAGGTGACGAGGGCATGGGTGACTGTGCGCAAGGCGTCTCGGTCCAGAAAAGGCCGCAACTGGTAAATCAGGCGTACCTGATAGAACGCCCCCCTGGTCACGGCCGACAGCTGGTCTTCCAGTGTCAGCCGTGAATCCAGGAGGACTCGATAGGTAGACAAAATGCCAAATCCAGTCTGAACATCTGGCTGACTGTGCGATGATAATAATATCATCATCAGAGGTAATAAAAATTAAAATTGCGTAAAAGCTGAGCAGCAGGGTAGATTTTAAGAAACCATTAGTATACTAAGATGATGATGGCAGTAAAATAGTCAAGAACAAGTCATTGTTCATCTTTTACTGGTTAACTTTATTAGTAGACAACGAATTTTTGTTTTATTTATTGCCTTTAAATCAAGGTTAACTCCTGGTGACTGCCTGGAGTTTTCTTGGCAAGTGTTTTTGAAAATGCTTTCCTATTGCCTGCTTCCTAGGGCTGAGAGAGAGTTGCCCAAGGTCACTTAGTTGGCTTCAAGCCTAAGGGAGAAATAGAACTCACAGGCTCCAGGTTTCTAGCCTTACTCACTGTACCAAATTTGCTCCTATTGACAATGGAATAGTCATGTCATAATATAATTTAATATCAGTAAACTACTTGCGTAAGTACAGGTAGTCCTTGACGTGTGACCACAGTTGAGCCCAAAATTAAGTTGTTAAGTGAATCTTACGACCTTTCTTTCCCCAATTGTTAACTGAATCAATTAAATACAGCGTTAAGTTAGTTAACACAGTTGTTAAGTGAATCTGGCTTCCCCAATCACTTTGCTTGTCAGAAGGTCCCAAATGGTAATCACATGACCCCAGGACACTGCAACTGTCCTAAATACATGCCAGTTGCCAAGCATCTGAATTCTGATCACATGACTAGGGGGAGACTGTATGAAAAAAAAATCATAGGTCACTTTTTTCAGTGCCATTGTCACTCTGAATGGTCACTAAATAAATGGTTGTAATATAAGGACTACCTGTACCCTATATTTTGTTAGCAAGCTAGTTAAGTATTGCTTTGAAAGCAAATTAGTAAGTTGCTTGAAAATTGCTCACCAACAATCCTTCAGAGTAAAGCTACGTTTCAGGTTGACCATTGTAGACTTTGGACTTTACATCCAGATTACCTAAGCTACAATAAACTGTAAAGTGTGAAAATATTGTACATCCTACCCCTCTCCTAATCCAGACAATTAATTGGTAGTGAAGGCTGTGCAAACTATCTTGATTTAAAACCATATTGAATGTGAAACGTTCTATTTCAACGGCCGTTTCAATTGTAAATCAGACTTCCAAACGTTCAGAAAGTATTCAGAATTTGAAACTTGGAACTTATTTCAGATTTCTGTCAGGCATTCTTGCTATTTCAGCATTTAAGGGGGAAAAAATAAGACATGTTTAGTACTATAAATCTTTCTGAGGAAAATTGCTCTTTTTTATGAATGTGCTTGAAAAAGATTGGTTTAAAGTGAATGTTGCTAGAATCAGCTATGAGGGCTAGTAGAGTTTGGCTCTTGCTCTCCATCTTTGCTGCAACTCTTGTTCAACTTTCCAGTTCATGCCAAGGGCTATGATTAATGATCTACTCTTTGTACTGGGTGAAATTATAAGAACTTCTGTTGCCAGTTTTCATCCTTGAATCCAATTGATTAAATTAAGTTGAATCCAGATTAAGTTATATTTTGGTAATTAAAAAGAATTCCTTCCTTGGTGCTAACAATAAAAGACATACTCTCTCATAAGTATTTCGTGAAATGAGACAGATTTTCAGAGGTATATATTACTGTTGCGATATGTTTTAAAAGTGTTTTAAACATTTGGATAGTTTGGGTTTTCTAACTGCATTTTTTTGTGATTTGAGAATTTATGGTCAGTCTTAGAGATATGTATCATAACCTCCTTAGGTGATCAACCTGTAAGATATTTTATATTAAGTTGAAATTTTAATACATGGCAGGGATTATGAATGCTACACCAAAGCAGCTTTATGTTGATTTTTATAGAAAACAATATTTTGATTTGGTTCCCTAATACTGTTATTTTACAGGATATTTTTTTTTTCTAAATACTTTTCTCTCCCTATCCTCCACCCCCACAAATATGTATTGAGACTTATTTTGTGTTTCTCTCTCTCTCTTTTTTTTTTGCAGTTTTCACCGTTTCATCCCACTATATTGGTTTCTTGTTCCTATGATTTCACTGTGAGGTACAGTAATTATTTTTGATTAAATTCACATAATCTGCCATGCATTTTTTTTAATGAAGCATACCCTAATTTTTGCTAATACTTTATGAAAACAGAATTTCCAGGGGAAGGTGCTACATTCTGCATCTGTGGCCTTGGAAAGTTTTTGTGAGAAACAGTTGGATTCTGTCTGTTAAATAGAGATGAGAAAAAGATGGTTTCTTCCTTATTTGTATATATATAAAAAATAATCCTAGTGCTTTTTTTTTTTTTTTTTTAAAGATAGCCTTTTCTTCCTATACTGGCAATGTGACTGAGAAAATGTTACTGCTTTTCATCTCTTAATCAGCTCAATATTTTTTCTCTGTAACAAAGATTTTGTAATTTTCATTATTAATATTTGCATATACATGCAATATTCTTGAATTTCTATCTTCTAAGACCACATGTCATATGCAGATGATAGAACTTTAAAATTATGTTTGCAAAGGCATTATTAATTAGGTAGTCTGATACCTGTGGATGCCAAAGTCACTGCAGACACTTTTTTTGCCAAGCTTCTTCTATCATTGAACAACTAAGAAGTCTTTTTAACTGAAAAAAAAAGAAGTTGGACAGTTTATAAAGCAAAATATCAAGTCTAAGCATTACCTTTATTTACAAGAAAGATAAGCAACAAATGCTTATCCTTAGGAAATAAAAATTGTTGGTGTCAATAGCTTGATGTTTCACTTGCAAATATGTCCAGATAAGCTGGAGAAATAGAGAACAGACAGTAAAAGAGGATATCCTTATTCACCAAAACAGTAATTTTAGAAACAATCTTGCTTTTCCAACAGCAACAATATAATGCAACTGCTACAATATGCTCTCAAGATTCCATATTAGTCTCCTTACACTCCCATAAGTGTATTCTAAACATAAACTCACCATCTTTTAACCTGGCACTCAAATTATATAAATCGGAATTTTTCTCATATTCAGTCAGTATGATCATTGATCATTGATTGCTACTAGAAGCAATAGGAAATATAATTCAATCCATCTGAAGATCACACAGTTGTGTGGACATATGTTTGCTACTTAAACTGCCTTCAAATGAAGCCTAGGAAGAGAATTATATTTATTATGCTATAGGCATAATGTTATTATTGTACTTAGCATTATACTTGCAAAATTGCTAACTAAAAAAATGTGTGTATTTTTCCATTTAAATAATAATGAGTGAGAGGATAATATTGGCCATCTGCCATGACAAATGCTCTTTATAACTGTTTTTCTAATCAGGATTTTGGAATCAGTAAGATTATTTTTCACAAATGGAATAGTTTTTATTATAACATTATGCCATTTGTTATTGTTAAACTGTTTTATGAACCTTGATCTGTTTCTTCTGGTTTTTGGAAGATAAGCTTTGTGTTCCAGCATTAATAAAATCAACTAATTAGATATCTCTGTAAGCTTTTTAAAAAAACAGAACTGATTTTTTCTCTGGATAGAATTATATTATTGTTAAGCTGTAGCAATTCAACAAAATCAGTTTATAACATACATACATACATACATACATACATACATACATACATACATACATACATACATACATACATACATCTATATATATATAGATGCATTTCAGAATGCTTTTATTAGTTTGTTTATTTTTGTTAAAAACATTACTTAAGTAGAAATACTTTTTTATTTTTTAAAAGCTACTTCTTATAAAGTTCCGCATTCTTCTGCTTTGATCAGACCCCCATCTGAAGTATTGTGTCTGGTTCTGAACATCACATTTTAAGGATTTTGGGAAGCTTAGGAGACTGAGTTGAGATATAATATTTGAAATAATGTCACATGAAAGAAGGCCAAGACTTGTTCTCTGTCATTCAGAGTTCAGAACAATGAATAGAGTAAAGTTTCTGGAAGACAGAGTGCAACTGAGCATTTTGTAATAGTAAGAGTAGTTTGACAGTAGAGCCAGTTGGTCTTCCTTTTATTGGATGAGTTCCAACAGCAGCCAGTCAGCCATCTGTTTGGGATGCTTTAATTCGTATTCCTGCATTGAGCAAGGGATGGAGTCAATGTTATCCCTTCTTATTTTGTTATGTATGTTTATACCTATTTAAAATATCTATTGCTCAAAAGGAGATAGTGGTAATGGTGGATAACCTATGTATGTTTTGAAATCCAGAAAATGTCCTTGGAGTGCATGTTCATCATTAGAGTTAGGAAAATAGAGAATTCTTTTGAGAAATATTTATTTGTTCCAAATAATCATAAAGCACCCTCTAATTTGTAGGGTACCCCATTCTGCCAAGATGTTTTCTTAGAAGATATGTAACAACCTTCGAAAATTTTGTAAACCTACTTCTTAACTTTTCCATCCAAATGCCCTATAATTGTGTTGAAACCTGGTCTAACGGTGACTTGGTTAGTGCTTTGTTGTCTGGATAGGCCTTAGTTTAGTTCTCTATTTATAATCTGAACCAAATATTACATTAACAGGCTATAGTAAAAGTAGGTATATTACGTAACAGTCATGCAGGATCATGACAACTAGAAATTCCCCATCAATTTAAGTAATCCTTTAGGCAAGGTGACTTTGCCTAAAAGATTACTTAAATTGATGGGGAATTTCTAGTTGTCATCCTGCATGACTGTTATGTAATTCTTCTCATGTAACTTATTCTTCTGAATTATTTTAAAAATGTGCATCCTATTAACTTTCTGTTTTGATGTGCCTTATATAGAGACTTCCTGAGTTTTAAATGTTTACTTTGCCTTTTCAGTTCAGTATCCTAGGGACAGTTTAGAGTAAATTATAACCATAAAAACAGGAAATAATAAAGCAATGTACAAGAATTTCAATAAATAAGTTTGACAACTTATCAAATTACAGGCATGATCAACATAACTAACCAAATAACTTATGTAACCTTAAAAGGTTTTACAACAAGAAGTCTCCAATTTTTGCTTTTAAAGACGGATGCCGAGACCTTGCTTGGAAAAGTAGTGCATCATGAGATTAAAAAATACCATCGAATGAACTGCCTCAGAGAATATCTATTTTGATAGTGACATTTCCTGAGTTATAGCTTACTGGAAGTTCTTGGTAGATATCCAGAGACCACCCAATCAAAGCTTTAGACATAAAAGAGCCAAGGTTGCCTATCCCTGGACTAGGCCAATTTATAGTTCAGATTTCAAACATAATTTTAACCCCCCCCAAAATAGACTTTATTAAGAAAAAAAAAAACCAAATAGATGGGTATTCTTTTTCTTAATATAATAGGATGAAGTAAACTGAGTCTTATGAGATCATGCAATTCAACCCATTGTACAGAAAGTTTTGTAGAAAATTGGGCTACTTTAATATTTGTAGGTTTTTTTTTGTGTGTGTGTGTTTTTTTTGTAGAAATGTACTTGGAAACATAATGAAATTTGTAGCAATAGAAGCCTACAGAAATTTTACTTTGCTGCCTTTGTTGAATTAACTTTATTTATGGATTGATCTTCTATTGGTAATGCTTGTACTAAAAAAAGGAAAGCAAAATGTGTGTAATAATAATGATGATGATGATGTTCAGACTAAAAAATGCCAAATCCAGTCTGAACAGCTGGCAATTAATAATAATAATAATAATAATAATAATAATAATAATAATAATAATAATAATAATAATAATAATAATAGAGTTGAAAGGGATCTTGGAGGTCTTCTAGTCCAATCCCCTGCTCAGGCAGTAAACCCTATACCATTTCAGACAAATGGTTGTCCAGTCGTCCAAAACTTTCAGTGTTGGAGCACTCACAACTTCTGGAGATAGATTGTTCTATTGGTTAATTGTTCCAACTGTCAGGAAATTTCTCCTTAGTTCTAGGTTGCTTCTCTCTTTGGTTAGTTTCCACCCGTTGCTTCTTGTCCTGCCTTCGGGTGCTTTTGGAGAATAGCTTGACTCCCTCTTCTTTGTGGCAGCCCCTGAGATATTGGGACACTGCTATCATGTCACCCCTTCGTCCTTCTCTTCATTAAACTAGACATACCCAATTCCAAATAGGAAATTTAACCCAATGTTAAATAGGAGTTCTGAATTATTAGTAGTACATCCTCCAAGCTCATTCATGTACCTAGGCTCTTGCTATTTAAATAAATAAGTAAATAAATAGATTTCACCTGCTTTAGATTTTATTAACTAGATGACAGCATTATACAGATGTATCTGTAGAAGGACTTCAATCTGATACTGATTTAATGAAACAGCAATTTGAACTCCTGGAACTTACCTTTTCTCATTCAAACCCTTAAGTGCATCAACAGAGAGATTTTAGTTAAGATACTGCCAGCAACCTTTTTTTTTTCCTGTTCTGCATGCCAAGTATCTGTGTATACAGTTAGATCTGCAGTTTTTCTCTTCCAGTGTGCTGATCAAGCAGTACACTTTATACGAATTACTTCATTTTGTTTTTATTTTATTTATTTCTCACATAACCTGGCACCACATACAAGCAGGCACTGAGGCAGTCTGTCTCTGTCCATAATTGTTGTGATAAAGATTCTAGAGTATGAGTAATCATTGCAGAGTTTGATCTAATCCTCTCAACCTCCTTTGGTAGGAACTTCTGACACAAATGGAGTAGTAACCTGGTGGTTCAGATTAGAAACCAGGAGACTGTGAGTTCTAGTCACACCTTGGACATGAAAAATTGGCTGGGTGACTTTGGGCCTGTCATACTCTCTCAGCCCAACTCACCTCATAGGGTCATTAGTGTGGAGAAAATATAGGTAGTCCTCGACTTACAACAGTTCATTTAGTGACCGTTCGAAGTTACAACAGCGCCGGAAAAAAAGTAATGTATGACATTTTTTCACACTTATGACCATTGTAGCATCCCCATGGTCACATGATCAAAATTTGGACACTTAGCAACTAGTTCATATTAATGACAGTTGCAGTGTCCCAGGGTCGTGTGATCAATTTTTGCAACCTTCTGACAAGCAAAGTCAACGGGGAAGCCAGATT